TGGTTTTATTCCATTCAGGGGTTCTCTAAAAGAAGACATTTGTATGTATTGTCCATAGGGTCCTATGTTAAACTAAGTCCCCCCTCTGGTGGCCATCTTGGATGATGGATCGGCTACAAAGTAATAACTCTTGGTCAGCACCTCATAAGGAACATTCATGCCATGTTTGGTTTTATTCCATTCAGTGGTTCTCTAGGAGAAGTTCAAAATGTAAAAAGTTAACGACGACGACGACGACAACGGATGACGGACGCCAAGTGATGAGAAAGGTTCACTTGGCCCTTCGGGTCAGGTGAGCAAAAAAAGGGTTGATTTTCCAGTTTTCGGACAATAACTCAAAAGTGCTTTGAGCAGTTACATGAAACTTTGATGACTGGTTTATATCTATTAAAATAACCTCTCTTTAGTTTTTTTTTATAAATTTCTGATACGACATTGAGGAGTTATGGAACTTTATTCTTTGAAAAAGCGACGGGCGTATCATGCGCTCATGACGCAGCTTTTTATTTATATATTCTTTTGAAGAAAATTAAGACAAATTCTAGACAATAGTTTTCATTTTACTATATTCACTCGTCTTATCTTAAATCTATATTCAGTTATTCTCTTAAGTCATGAGATTTAAAAAAATCGAGTTACTACCTGGATATAATTCGATCCAAAAAAAAAAACAAAAATCTATTAATTTAACATCATTACTTTAAGACACCATGATAAAAAGTTCATGAACACCATGTTTCGTAATTTTGTCTTATCTAATAGCAAGATAAAATATAATTTCCCTAAAAGTTCTTTACACCAGAGACATAATTCGTTGAAACAACCATTATGAGATTGTGGTCTTCCTCGTTTGGTCACATACATATATATGTTTACATAAACGAAGGATAAATATGTTAATCACAAATCATGATACAGATTTAACGATGCCTTGGTACAAAGATCTTGTCGATAAAGAAAACCCTTTTGCAAAATTTCATTATTTCATCTTTTCTAAAATGTTAATTTGTACATTTTGGAAACGCTTGTGATATAGAAGAAGACATTGACAGGATTGTTATGAAACAAACTAAATGGCATTGGCTTATAAGGCTTCAAACAATCAGAAAAAATTCGCATAAAGTGACATATCATGGTAGCATTTTTAAACAAGCGGATGGGTCACATGGCACAAAAAGGGTTAAGCAAGCGGATGGGTCACATGGCACAAAAAGGGTTAAGCAAGCGGATGGGTCACATGGCACAAAAAGGGTTAAACAAGCGGATGGGTCACATGGCACAAAAAGGGTTAAACAAGCGGATGGTTACATGGCACACAAAGGGTTAAACAAGCGGATGGTTCACATGGCACAAAAAGGGTTAAACAAGCGGATGGGTCACATGGCACAAAAAGGGTTAAACAAGCGGATGGGTCACATGGCACAAAAAGGGTTAAACAAGCGGATGGGTTACATGACACAACTAGAGACTCTCAAGAGCCTGTGTCGCTCACCTGATTCTACTTTGGTTTTGGAAATCATGTAAAAATAGATTAAAATCATAACAGATACCCTAATAATGAGTGAGGCCAAATTTGGTTTAATATTGGTCCTGTAATTTAATAAAAAATCCTGGTGGCCATCTTGGACAGTAAATCGGCAACAAAGTAGCAACACTTAATCAGCACCTCATAAGAAACATTTATGCCATGTTTTGGTTTCATTCCATTCAGTGCACCTCTAGAAGAAGCATTTGTATGTATTTCCCATATGGTCTTATGTTAAAGGAAGTCCCCCCATTGGCGGCCATCATGGATGAAGGATCAGCTTCAAAGTAACAAAACTTAGTCAGCACCTCATAAGGAACATTCATGCCATGTTTGGTTTCAATCCATTCAGTATGTGGTTCTCTAAAAGAAGACATTTGTTTGTATTGTCCATAGGGTCCTTTGTTAAACATTGTCCCCATCTGGCAGCCATCATGGATGAAGGATCAGCTTCAAAGTAACAACACTTGGTCAGCACCTCAAAAGGAACATGCATGCTATGTTTGGTTTCATTCCATTCAATGGTTCTCTAAAAGAAAACATTTGTACGTATTTCTCATAGGGTCCTATGTTAAACTAAGTCCTCCGCTGGCGGCCATCTTAGATTATGAATTAGCTTCATAGTAACAACACTTGGTCAGCACCTCAAAAGGAACATTCATGCCATGTTTGGTTTCATTGCATTCAGTGGTTCTCTAAAAGAAGACATTTGTATGTATTTCCCATAGGCTCCTATGTTAAACTAAGTCCCCCGCTGGCGGCCATCTTGGATGATGGATCAGCTTCAAAGTAACAACACTTGGTCAGCACCTCATAAGGAACATTCTTGCCATGTTTGGTTTCATTCCATTTAGTGGTTCTCTAAAAGAAGACATTTGTATGTATTTCCCATAGGGTCCCATGTTAAACTAAGTCCCCCGCTGGCGGCCATCTTGGATTATGGATCGGCTTCAAAGTAACAACACTCGGTCAGCACCTCATAAGGAACATTCATGCCATGTTTGGTTTCATTCCATTCAGTGGTTCTCTAAAAGATGACATTTGTATGTATTTCTCATAGGGTCCCATGTTAAACTAAGTCCCCTGCTGGCAGCCATCTTGGATTATGGATCGGCTTTAAAGTAACAACAGTCGGTCAGCACCTCATAAGAAACATTCATGCCATGTTTGGTTTCATTCCATTCAGTAGTTCTCTAAAAGAAGACATTTGTTTGTATTTCCCGTAGGGTCCAATGTTAAACTAAGTCCCCTGCTGGCGGCCATCTTGGATTATGGATCGGCTTCATAGTTACAACACTTGGTCAGCACCTCATAAGGAACATTCTTGCCATGTTTGGTTTCATTCCATTCAGTGGTTCTCTAAAAGAAGACATTTGTATGTATTTCCCGTAGGGTCCCATGTTAAACTAAGTCCACCACTGGCGGCCATCTTGGATTATGGATCGGCTACAAAGTTACAACACTCGGTCAGCACCTCATAAGGAACATTCATACCATGTTTGGTTTCATTCCATTCAGTGGTTCTCTAAAAGAAGACATTTGTATGTATTTCCCATAGGGTCCTATGTTAAACTAAGTCCCCCGCTGGCGGCCATCTTGGATGATGGATCCGCTACAAAGTAACAACACTTGGTCAATACCTCATAAGGAACATTCGTGCCATGTTTGGTTTCATTACATTCAGTGGTTCTCTAGAAGAAGTTCAAAATGTAAAAAGTTTACGCCGACGCCGGACGACGACGGACGACGACGGACGACGGACGCCAAGTGATGAGAAAAGCTCACTTGGCCCTTCGGGCCAGGTGAGCTAAAAAGGGTTAAGTATTGGCATGTTTTCATTTACCAAGGAGGAAATCCTTAATAGTAATTAGTTCTGTTCTATTGGCCTTTGAAATTTCAACCAGAGATGAAGAACTGGATGTTCCATCACTGTACAGGAAACATAAATTATATAAGTGTCTTTACAAACAACGTTATATTACTGGGTCTTCCAAGTGCTCCACGAAACCTCTTTCTAAATTATATCAGCAATCAAACGAAAAAAAAGAAATAATACCAAAAATCTATTAATTCTAGATATAAGTTGTGGCTAAAGTGAGCTGCGGAAAATACAGGTGATGTTGAAGTAAGTAATCGTTTGATTTTGTTTTGATTTTTATTTATTTGGGGACATAATTGGCCGAAATTATTCGTTCAAATATCTAATCATTCTGAGGGAAAACAAAGTAAAGGTACAGTAAAATATGAAATAAAATTTACCGATAAGTGCTATTTTATATATGGTGTATTCTTATATAATGTGACACCACGAGTCCGTCTGATAGAATAAACAGTGTAAAGTTTATTGACCTTTCTTTTTGAAGATTTCCAAACCACAAAATAAACACAAACATGAGTCCAAATTCATCAAATGACGAGCAATAAAATAAAACAATAGACGATAAAATAAATTGTTTGAATGTGTTGGAGTGGCTTAGGATCGAGATCACTATATAATATAAAACTTTCTGCTGTTTTCTATACAACTCTTCTCTCAAGATGAAGGTACTTGTATTGATAGTTTGTGCTTTCATTTTTACAGACGCTGCCTCAGTACCGAAATGGAGACAAAAAAGTAAGTCATGATGACTGATAATTTCTTAAACTGTAATAGGTTCTTAATCACGTTTTTAACTCTACTGCAGTTGCACATTTTTAAGCTTAATTGCACAATGTTCGCTTTTACCGAAACTCTATCGACAGTGTGATCTGACTTATATTTACAAATTTAAAAGAAACGTTAGTTGTAAAAAAATTTTTATTGAGTTTTTAAAGCAAACAATCTTTTCCGTAAAAAAATAATTGCTCGTATTTAAGAACATGCGACTTAAAGACTTGATATCCTTCTGCATTCTCAAAAGTGGACAGGGTGGTGTTTCTGAAATATAATCATCATAATCATGATTAATAACATAAATCGTGTGCAATCGCGATTAATTTACTAGCCTATTATTGAAAACTTCATCTTCGTTTTAAGTCAGTTGTCGGTAACTGGTTTTACAGCTTTTATATTAATTAATTTACCTGTACTATATATTGCATTAATAGTTCTGTATCCTCTCTTTTAATTAGTGGCTTTGAGTGTGGATAAACGAAATGTGGGGTAAACGTAAATGAAACTGCAATCCCACAACACAATTAGGTCAAAAAGACTTATGGATGTGAAACAGCAATCAAACAACACAGACACGCCAGGTTGTATGTATGCTGTCTTAAACGAGTTTTATAAAAGCGGCGGTATGTGGGATCTGCTGTAATTCACTGTCCTCTTTCATACCGGCTTTTAAGTCAGGAATATGACAGTTGTTTTCCATTCGTTTGATGTGTTTGAGCTTTTGATTTTGCCATTTGGTAAGGGACTTTCCGTTTTGAATTTTCCTTGGAGTTCGGTATTTTTGATATTTTACTTTTTTCTTTTAATTCGTCAATAGGGTCCATGAAATTCAGTCATTGGCCAATAGCTGCTGGTAAGAACTGGTTCCCGGATGACGGAACAGGTGGAACTAGCGATGGTAGCTACCCAGGAGGACTACCTGGTGGCGATGGTAGCTACCCAGGAGGACTTCCTGGTGGTGATGGTAGCTACCCAGGAGGACTACCCGGAGATGGTGGTGGAGGATGGTTTCCTGGAGCAACAACAACACCGGCTCCAATATGTGAGTTTGTATATTTAACGAGAAATCCGTTTATCTCTTGTTTCTCTTGATCTTATGCCTCTGCATCACTGACTTAAGAGAAAGAACAGCAATTCAAGCACTGTTGGTTTGGCAAGTGCGTGTATTACGTGTATGGATCTTCTGTCTTGAATCAATATACGATCATATGCCATATCTTTTTGTTTCCTTTCTTCGATACAGTCATTGTTATTTGAAAAAAAAATATTTGTAGACCTGACTGATGAAATATCTATTGCTGTTTACATGTTTAGGGCCAAACACAAGTCGTATGATACTTCTCCCTATGTTAGAAAAAAATCAATGTCGCGGAGAATGAAATACTTGTACCGTATCTGTTAGCATGGATAGATACCAAGTTACACAACCATATGTTTTATATATTATTTGATAGAGCGTTTTGCACAATTTTTCAGCATGCGAAGATGTAGGAGGATATTGTCTTTACGAGGCAAATTGTAATGCAGAACCAGGTCCCCAATACGTATGTGAAACAGAGGGTCTCGTCTGCTGTCTTCCACCTGTTTGTAAGTAGATCCAACAAGGCCTTAGTCTTTCAAATTCCATAACTACTTTACTTGACCAAAACGTTTGCAGTATCTTTGAAAAAGGGGAAATTCGCTTTGAAAAGTCAATGTCATCAAAAAAATGTATGAAATTTGTAAATCCTTACACTTATGTAATCTCTTATATTTTGTTTTACCCACGCCACTGGGTTATTGATTTAAGTTGTTTCATTATTTCTAAATTTACATGACTCAAGCAGATAAAAACCCCGAATAAATGGATTGTATCTTCCGATGGAAATACCAACTATCAAGTATGAGTAAATACATTATAATAATTAATTATTTTTTTAGTACCTGATTCAAAATGCGGAGTTACTAAAAATGTCAGTACAAGAATCGTCAATGGGTCGGAGGCTAAACGTAACCGATGGTCATGGCAAGCATCTCTCCAGACACAATCAGACTTTCATTTCTGCGGAGGATCACTGATCCATGAACAATGGGTTGTCACTGCTGCTCATTGTTTAGATGGGTACATACATGTATTCTATTACTATAAACTTTCATAACGGATAACAAGCTTTTTTTGTTGAAATTTACATTTGAGATTTTAGTATTCGAAATATATTAATTTATCTAACATTGATAAATGAAAAGAGACATTGTTACAATATATAGCATTTACAGTACTTCTTTCTAAATAAGATTTGCGTATTTTTTTCAAATTGATATTTACGTATTCCCGGGTTAATATTTATGAGAGGCACATTGATATGACAACTTATTGTATTTGTAGAAGTGAAATGAAAGTAGTCCTAGGTGAACATGACAGAGACTTTGCACATGGACCAGAAGTGACTGTTGGTGTTATAAAGCAAATCCTGGTAAGCTGATTCCTTGATTCAAAAGAGAAACCGTTAAGCGCTTCAGAAAATAAACACATTAAGTGACGATAATTGTAATTGTTTGATATAACGCACCAAATTAATTTTGACATATGACAAACTAACATCACAGGAACAGACATACATGTAATTGTAAAGTTCCGTTTTTTTTTCAGTTTAATTTTTGGATTAAATCATCTCTCTCGTTTCATTTGGCCTTCACACTAACATTAAGGGGTTCTGTTAGACAATTTTTTTCGGGAAAAAACTGAAAGAAATCGTACAAATATTTTCAGCATGAAGGTTACTCTGAAGGTGCACCTTACCCAAATGACATCGCATTGTTAAAGCTAGAAACTCCTGTGCAATTAACTGATGAAATCGGAACGGCTTGTATTCCTTCCGCTGGAGAGAGTTTTACTACTGAAGATAACTGCTGGATTTCAGGATGGGGAGATACAAAAGGTAAAACGCATGCAAAAGTGTGTTGTTAGTTAATTATAATTATGTATGTTCACAACAAAATGTCTTTTTACTGTGTGTGGCATATTGTACCAAATTTGTTGACTTGATTGAATACAAAAGTCAACCTCTAAAAGTCAGCACGGTAATGACAAACTCTTTCAAACTCCTCACAATGGCCATTTGCTTATGTTGTTTCATGCATATGCATCAGCGGAGAAATTGCAATCTTATTTTTGTAAGATTTCATTACATTTATCAATTGTGAATCTATTTCCATATTTTGAACATATTATGGATAATACTGAAGCACAAATGATCTTGTCGGGGCTAACAGTCAAACAAAATGTTCTCATTGTGAGCGCTTTTTACCGCGGAACGTGTGTTTGGAAATGTTTATGTCTGTCCACTCGCCCATCCGTTCGAGATTATAAAGCTCTCGAGCAAACATTACTGACTTACAGTTTGGAGAGTTCCGAGATCATTCTCGTTTCAATGTGAAGATTGTAAAAGTCGTATCTCTTGACATTTTTAAATGCATTCACACAGGCAAATTACGCAAATGGAATGATTTAAATTGATTTCCACTTAAAAAATTCGATCCCACTTTTCTATTTTAACCCCCTCAGCCTGTTCAGAATCTACATTTATAGGTGATATCACCCATAAGTAGCAACGTTCTAGCAGCGCCTGCATACGGAGTATATATCTCCCAGTTGATACGATAGTCCAGGGCTTGTATTTCCTATCATGAAAGAGGGTTGCTGCTCACAAGGAAGCTATTAAACCACGAGTTCCAAGTGGTGAAGTTGAAATCAACACTACGTAAATTTTACGGACGCCATCACAAGTTGGTTGATAGTTATGGAATATCCGTTTCACAGACGACAACGGATATGTTCAATTGTCGTAACTACAATCCCGTCCTCTGTTTACCAATGTGACTTACCGAATTAGACTTATCACTGGGTTTTTACTAACATGAGCAACACGACCGGTGCCACATGTGGAGCAGGATCTGCTTACCCTTCCGGAGCACCTGAGATCACCCCAAGTCTTTGGTGGGGTTTGTGTTGCTCAGTCTTTAGTTTTCTATGTTGTGTTTTATGTACTGTTGTTTGTCTGTTGGTCTTTTTTCTTTTTTTTGCCATGGCGTTGTCAGTTAATTTTCGACTTGTGAGTTTGAGTGTCTCTTTGGTATCTTTTGCCTCTCATTTTCCTGCAGACGACATTGTATTGATCCCAACACTTCATAGATTTCTGACGTTTTCACGTGAATTTTGTGTGTAATCGGACACGGAAAAACGGGCTGTCTAGGAACTAAAATTGTAGCTAACGAAGCAGGCTGTTTTCTGCATGCTCTTTGGTCGGGTTGTTGTCTTAAAACTTCCCTTGTTTCCATTATCTATTCTAAAAGCAATATCTCGAATGAGTTTGAAAACCAGTGTCAATCGATCAAATACCATTTTGAAATTTAAATAATTCTGTCACACCTACAATTTTCATCGGATTCGTATGAAATTATGCCAAAGGTTGAAATCATCATTGTCTTGCACAAGACCAACATTAGCACCGATTGATTTATACGGGAGTTATGTCGCTTGAAAATAATTGATATAGAAATTGTTTGTCAGGAATAAGTATCTTACACAGATCACCTGTGCAGGGTGTACGGAATATCATACACTGGAGTGTTCCAAGCTGTAGTGCACTGGTCATTTCTGCTGTATGTCAGACGATCGTTGGAAAAAGAGGAACTTATACTTGGCGAATTAAAGTAGGCCAAGTAATTTCACTTTGAGCACAGTTTTCAAAAACACCCATGAGTCGTCACACAAACGCCAATGCCACCAGAGTCAACGGATGCTCCCTGCTCTCCGAGTAGCCAGTCCTTTACCATATATTTCATATATACTCTAACAGATCATTTCATGCAAGGTCAATCCTCTCTGTTGGCACACACGTCCATGATCTTCTTTATTTTAACGAAGACCACCACTGTTATCTTTTAATTTGGTGTACTAAAAAGTAAGTGTAAGTTGCAAGTTGTAAGAAATAAGAAATATGCACAGGTTTAACGGCGGGAGACATTGGTTACTTCGCAGTAATCGTGTTTCGTCTGGAAATTTAAACTGAATGAATGGATACATCTGACACTGAAATTGTACTCTTATTTTTTGTTCATTAATTTTTTTGCTCTTTTTTTATGATCAGTTCAACCTATGCTTTTCAAATTTCAATATTTTGTAACTGATGACAAAAGGGAATTTCATTTCACACAATTTCATATAAACCCGGTTTTCTGTCAATTTGACATCTCATTAACTGTTAGTTTTTATTTGCAAAAATGCCCCTTTTAAAATCTTTTACATCTTCATTGGAGATGAGCCTTCATACGCCACTACATTGTTTTCTTTTAGAAGTATTTCCAAACCCAAAGGAAAAATTCTGGATGCAAAAAAGTAAAGTTGCTCTTCGCGTATTCAAACGCATTTTTGCCTTAAAATTGGTACCGTTAATGTTATTACTACCAGTGGGTCGATACCTCTGCTGGTGGACTATTAATCCCCGAGGGTATCACCAGCCAAGTACCCAGTACTTCTGTACTGGCATGAAAATACGGATATTGTTTGATTAGAATTTGCTGTTATAAAATTTTCGAAGTTATTTTAGATTAAGGAATACTAGTATATCTCCCTCATGCAAAGTTCTGATTCCTTGTCTGGATTTGGCTATACTTTAGGTCCTTTTTGTTTTGAACCGCTCTTCAATATTTGTATTATATTTTGGAAACGCAAAATATTGGCCTCGGGCACTACTGAAGAGACATTAATTGTCGAAATCCTGCATTAAAATGGTACCGTTTATGTTATTGTCTAAACTTTTTGTCAAGTGTTTTTGTAACCAAAACTAATGGCAGATGGCGTTATATTGCTGGTGGAGGTTTCCTCCCCGAGGGTTTCACCAACTCAGTAACGTATTCAGCGTTGACATGAATTATAATCGATTGTAATGGAAACACGGTATTATACTAGGCTGCCTTATATAAAGGCGTGCTTTTGAAGTATCTTCTTGGGTAGGTGTGTAAGTTGACTGTAGTAGTCTTTCCATGATTTATTATATAGTATCTGCTTGTAGACACCGGAGATGAGACCAAGCTTAATGAACTAAAGAAGACAATAACAGATAACCCTACATGTGCCAATAAATGGGGAGCGGAATATATTATTGATACACATATTTGTGTTGGAAATGGCGATAAAGGAGCATGTAATGTAAGCCACTAGTAAACAATTCGCTTGCATTCAATTATGATATGTTCAGTCTATGTTCAGTCTATGTTCAGACTGTTCGGTAGTTGTTATTAACCTATACACAACAGCGTCATACTGAATTGTCTGAAAAGCTACTGACTAGTACTGAATTGACTGCAAGCGACTTTTCTGAACACTACTGAAATTACCGCAGCGGACAAGTCTGAAAATTGAATGAAAGACTGTACACGACTGAATAAGTTATTGTTCAGACTTTTCAGGTGATGTTAAGATCAAAATGGCCGTTTAAGACTGAAATTCATTTACTATTGAATGAGTTTAAAATTATAAAAATAAGAGGTCTTTAAATCACTCTCAGTATGCTTTGACCTATAGTCGTGTAAGGTTCTACAGTGCAATTTGTACTAATAATACTATGTAGATTTTAGGAGGTATAGACATTTTCTAGTCAAGGTTGGAGGCATCTTAAATGGGAAAACTAGCTAATCATTTCTTTCAGTATTTAAAGATCATTTCAGTAACTATGAATATATAGGTTGTAACTCACAGAGATCATCAGTCTTTATCCTGTTTTGTTTGTGGCTTCATAATCATTCTTTCAACTTTCACCTAAAATCGATTAACTAGTAGGATGAAACTGACAAAGTATTCATTCCCTGGTTCTGTGACTACTTATATATTTGCAGGGTGATTCTGGAGGACCCTTATCTTGTCAGAAAGACAAATGGTACCTAGCAGGAGCTACCTCCTGGGGATACAATGGTTGTCAGACCGAAGGATATCCCAATGTCTACACCAGGGTGTCTGAATATCGAGACTGGATCTCACATAATATCAGAACTAATTTATAATAACTAAGCAGCAGATATGTTAACAGGAAAGGAAACCAACAAATGACTCTTCCAGGCTTTAGTTTTAATAAATTATACCACAGCATTTAAATATACAGAGTTTGACTTTTGTGTTTTGGTTTCACCCTAAATGTCTTTGTTTAAAGCACTCCTAAGTTGCAACCCTAGTGAAACATTAATATTGGACAAAGAAATATAAAATGTATTCTTTTTAAAGTATTTTTACAACAATAATAATGTAAACTTTTTAAAAAACAGCCGTTGTTATTGGCTTAGAACTAGCTGTCAGTAACTGTCAGTACTCTCAGATCTGTTCATGTCAAAAACAGCCGTTGTTATTGGCTTAGAACTAGCTGTCAGTAACTGTCAGTACTCTCAGATCTGTTCATGTCAAAAACAGCCGTTGTTATTGGCTGAGAACTAGCTGTCAGTAACTGTGAGTACTCTCAGATCTGTTCATGTCAAAAACAGCCGTTGTTATTGGCTTTGAACTAGCTGTCAGTAACTGTGAGTACTCTCAGATCTGTTCATGTCAAAAACAGCCGTTGTTATTAGCTTTGAACTAGCTGTCAGTAACTGTGAGTACTCTCAGATCTGTTCATGTCAAAAACAGCCGTTGTTATTGGCTGAGAACCAGCTGTCAGTAAGTGTGAGTACTCTCAGATCTGTTCATGTCAAAAACAGCCGTTGTTATTGGCTTTGAACTAGCTGTCAGTAACTGTGAGTACTCTCAGATCTGTTCATGTCAAAAACAGCCGTTGTTATTGGCTTTGAACTAGCTGTCAGTAACTGTGAGTTCTCTCAGATCTGTTCATGTCAAAAACAGCCGTTGTTATTGGCTTTGAACTAGCTGTCAGTAACTGTGAGTACTCTTAGATCTGTACTTAGTCTTTTTGTTGTTGGGATGTATAAGTACCCTGCCACGTCCACTTTGTGTTTTTGTTACATGTTTTTGTGCTTTGTATCTATCTGATGAGTTAAGCCCTTTTTAACTGATTTTTATAGTTTGTTCATATGTTGTACTGTAACACCACTGTCCCAAGTTAGGGGGAGGGTTGCGCGCCCGTTAACATGTCTAACCCTGCCACATTCTGTATGTGCCTGTCCCAAGTCAGGAACCTGTAATTCAGTGGTTGTTTTTTCGTTTCTGTATATCAGATTTGTTATTTGTTCATTTATTTGAACAGTTTGTTCTTGTGTTGTGTTGTTGCACCTCTTTCCCAGGTTAGAGGGAGGGTAGGGCGCCCGCCAAACATGTTTAACCCCGCCACATTCTGTATGTGCCTGTCCCAAGTCAGGAGCCTGTAATCCAGTGGTTGTCGTTTGTTGCTGTATATAATATTTGTTTTTTTTTTCATTTTTTTATACATCAATCAGGCCGTTAGTTTTTCTCGTTTGAATTGTTTTACATTTGTCATTCCGCGCCTTTTATAGCTGACTATGCGGTAAGGGTTTTTCTCATTGTTGAAGGTCATACAATGACCTATAGTCATAATTTCTGTGTAATTTGGTCTCTTGTGGAGAGTTGTCTCATTGGCAATCATACCACATCTTCTTATTTTTAAGTTAAACTATTGAGAAAAAAAAATGCATTGTCACAGTTTCCCAGAAAGTGGCCATTGAAATATCTTATTATTCCTATTTGACTTAGAGCATAAAAAAAGTTCCTGTATAGGACATTGCAGTAAATATTATAATACCTCCACCCTATAATGTAAGGGTAATATATAACTTTGGCATGTCTGTCAATAATCGTGGTTTCAGCATGATAAATCAAATACTTTATATACTTGGATATATTGTCACATATAATGAGAGGAAGTTCCCTAAAGATTTTAAGTTCATTAAAGGTCAAAGTTTTTAACAATATAGACTAAATTTGATGTACGATTTTAAATCTAGAATCTTATATGGGATTCGAAACAAACTTCCATATATGGTCACATATGAATGTAAGATCTCTATTCATTTCAGATCACTTTATCCAAGGTGGAGGTTATAGTTACTGAAATTACACTGAAATTAGTGCAGTAACCCCATACCCTTATTACTTTGGTGTGTTACTACTAATTACAAGACACATCTGCAAGTTAAACACAAAGAAACTTTCTCTAATGGTGCATAAGTTATAATTCATAAATAAGCACTTGCAGATTAAAAAATCAAGGCTACACCAACTGTCTCCCTGAAGTTCGTTTAAGGCAAGCTAAAAGTCAACCAGCATTTCCTTAAATGTGTAAACAGAACAAGAATAAATAGTATGTAATTTAATAATAAATATTCATAAAACATATTCACTAACTGTTGTTCCTAAAATACTGCCTGCCTGTTGACATTCAAGTAACATTTGCATAATTATGTTTTTTTGATGGCAGTTACCAATTCCAGTCTTGAAAAAGCAATTAATCATTTGATTTTTTAACACTAAAAAAGCTTTTAACCACAATATACATCATATGTCCAGCAAGCAGATTTTTTTTTCTAATTTTCAAGTAGAAATTAATTATGGAGTGTCTTGTTTGTTCATCATTTGATGTGAGAAAAGTATCTTATTTTGTTAAAACAACCATCACAATTTGATGTTGAGGCTACAAAGAACGAAAAAATTCAATTCATTTTTATAATGCCTTACTGTAAATTACAGGCAATATTTCAATTAAATTATTACAAAATGGTAAAAAATATAACAGGTACTTATTACGGAATAAATTTTTATGTACAAAACAAATCATTTTGCATACAGGTTCTATAGTTAAACATTTGTAGCTAGAGCTTGGGTGTTTTAATTAATTCATTACAAGTTCAACTACTAGCATATTTGAAGAGATAACAAAACAATGTATATCATATAAATAAACATTAAAATATTGTCAAATTCTATTCTTCTAATCAAAAGCTGAATAATTTACAACAAAACATCCTTAAGGTCATATACAATGTTTTCAAATGCTTTAGTTTGTATTGGGATAAAAACATTTTTATATATAAACACTTCAAAGTTTAAGTTAATCAATTTGCATTTGTAAAATCATTTCTGAACTACTTTGCATGTGCTGTTCAGTTCTTATATCCATCTTAAGAATGGAGAAAGAACAATTCATAAAGTAAGTCATAAAAATATCACCGTGATAATATAGATAATAATGTTCATAGAAAAAAAAAAAATCATTATTTAGTTGTATGACACATACACCAAAAATTGGAGCTTTGACTGTTTTCGCCATCTCTGGTTTGTTACTTTTTTCATCAAAAATTGAGTCTGTTCAAGTATGATATTTTTTATGTGAATAATTCATTTTTATCCTACCTTTTTATTGTTGAAAAGACAGATAATTTATTTTAACTTGCATCCTATCCCTTAATTTACAGAAATACTTATTATCACAAATTCCAAAGAAGAAAAAAACTATTCCTCTTGTAATATCATATTTTGTGTATATATCAAGCAATGCTAAACCTTGTTCATTTTAATATCATATCATGCTAAACCTCTCTGATAAATATCTTCTAAATAACATGTGTGAAAAACAAGGTATATGATATCTAAAACATTACTATACTACTCGTTGTTGGAATAATGCTATCATGGAATATATATTTTGATTTAAAGCTACTGGTTTTATAAACTTTAAATAGAAAAGCTTGAAAAAATGCTGTTTTCATTAATACTATTTCGGAATGATTATAAACGATTCCTTTTGTAATACTTATACTATATTTTAAATACCACACAATGCTTAACTTTGTGCATGAATATCACTTAATGCTAAACTCTGTGCATAAATATAACTTAATGCTTAGCTTTGTGCATATACATATAACTTAATGCTAAGCTTTGTGCATAAATATCACACCATGCTAAACCTTGCCAATAAATATGCTATCTCTGCATATAAAACTGCAATAGTAAATAAATTATAAAAATAAGATATATCTTAAAAGAAATACATGAGTCAGTTATCAGCTGAACAAATTTTCTTTGGTATCCATTAAGAAAAACATGATGACAATTACTGTTATATATATCTAATACTGGTTACTGTATATTAATGTATAAAGTTTCTGCACTACCAAAAACAAAACTTTGGTTCCTAGACACATTATATATATATTGCAGTTAACAATATTTCAGGTTTGTAATTCATAACTTCAAATTGTAACTAAAAAAAAACAATTTCCAATCTATGAGGCAGTAGTAGATTGTGATGCTTCATTACTAATAACTGGATAAATCTCATCACCTGGCACGCCCATCATGATCATCCAATGATTGACTTCTTTATCAGCACGATGAGAATCTAAGTAGGTGTTGCATGATATTTCATACTCTCGTGTTCCATATGGAGTTCTGCAATTAAATAATTTGTACAATGTAGCTCGTTTAACAATTTGTACTTTGATCTATTGCTCACTAATTATACCCTGCACATATCAAGAAGGTATGATTGGCAATCACATAGAAAATTTCATGTATATGAGTATGATGTTTTAAAATGATAAGTTTTTATATGAAGATTATAGGGTCTGAACTTGTGTCACACAGTATAACATAATCAGATGAAGTTTAGCTGGTGCCCTATCAAGAAAGTATGACTACATTTTGTAGTTACAGAGACAAATGTGTCAAAAATGTGTTACTGGCAGTTCTAAAATGACTTTTTTCTTTGGCTTGGTAAACAAAGCCATGTTCTTATTACAATAAAACATGGAGTACATATGCTTTGTCACAATTGAATATGCAATGTCAGCTGCATTTTGAAAGACACTGAATGTTAAATGTACATATCTGCAGTAGTTGTTTGCAATGAAATTCATTAAAATTGTTCAGAAAATTAAGTTTTATGTGTATTTGTGCACATCAAATTGTGCAACACTAGGTCCTCTTCAAACGAAAAAAGTTCAGAATTTTCCTCTGAAGAATTGAAATAATTCTTTCATGTCATGCACTATGATAATTTTAACACATTATAAGACTGACTAAATTATTTCCCTTGTTTATGTTATGATTAAAAAATAAATAAAATTGAAATACAAACCTCATTGAAAATTCCTCTTCAACAGCTAAATTCTGGTTTGTATATTTGTGGTTGAAAATTATTTTGGTGTTAGCCTGTAATGATAATAGCTATATATAAAAAAAGGGGTCAAGGACAGGTTAATTATTTCCTTTTTTAAATTAACCAGAAAACATGTTAAGCATTTCAAACTTTTCACTTCATATATTTTGTGACTCCAAACTTTCATCAAGTCTTGATTATTGTGTATATGTAGCAAACTATTCTTTCAATTTATCTGATTTCTCTCACCTTTTATTACATTTTGATATTCATTTCACTTAAAAAGAAAAAAATTCCTGTCAAATGCAGATGTACTTTAAAAAAGTTTATAAATAAAGATAAGCACAAAAACCTATCTTTCTTCAATACAATGTAATTTTGAAGTCTTGTTTAATTTCTTGATTGAAAAACCAATGATAACTCACAGGTACAGCAATTCCTTCATATTCTAACCGTAACTGTGGATTAAAGTGCAAGATTTGGAACTCTGTTAGAAAGGAAGGCTCTGATACAAATGTTACATCTTGGTGTCTGGATTTGGGAGCTGATTTGCCAGTTGTGGCTCTATCACTAGATACAAACAACTGAAATAAAGTAAAAAAAGTCTATTCAAACCAAATGTTCAGTGTAGAGGTGACTAGAAACTGTCCCATTCTAATAGATTGTTTTCTCGCAGTGGACCATATTTATAAACATATCTAGTTTTCATTTGAACTTTTGCTTTACATAAAACTGACAAAAAAAAATGCTAGTTCTATCATTGAATGAATTGAAAAATTAATTTACATTTCTGTAAAACGCTACATAGCACTTGCAATCATTCAAATGTACCCATATCAGAATAGGAGTTTCTTTATAGACTTGTATTGATACTATTAGCATTATTTAATTTGTGAATATTTTTAGTTAAATCATATTTTGTGTATAAAGTGTTGATGATTTGATGTTCAATGTTCAGTGGCAATTATTACATGCATATTAGGACAAGAACACATTGACCTTTAATGATTATGAACTCTGCTTTGTACTAGTCTGACATGCTGAGTCAGATTTTTAACATGCTAGTCTGGGATCAAAAGTGCTTCACCTATCAGAAATTCCCCTATTATATCATTAAAAATAAATTTTTAATGAAAATTTTGCTGAAGATATTTCTTGTCCAGATTGGAAGACATTTTTTCATTAAATACAGAAATGTCTGCAGTTTCTTTCAATGATTATGAAATACATTTATGATCTATATTTTAGGAAAATTCCTATTTGAGGACAAATGTGAATTGCTGTATGAAAAACTTGTATAGCTACATAATAAAAATAGTGAGTTTAACATTCAAAATTTCATTCAAATTGGACCTCAAATTAATTGTTGACAATGTTTTCAAAAAATTGTTTTTTATATGAAATAATAGGGGAATAGGGATAGGTGAAACGCTTTTGACCTAAGACTTTAGTTTAAAGGTAACAGTCTGCAAGTAGACATGTCATCCTATCTGGACAAAACATTCTGACTCAGAGCTGTCCAATCTTTGCTCTTATTCCTGAAAGCTGCATGCTTAGTGGAGGAGCAGCTAATACCAATATCCAAGTCTTGGTTTGACCGGTCAGGGATGGAATCCATCATTTCCTGCACTCGAGACAAGCACTCTAACATGAGACCAGTGAGGCAGTCTTTACATTGACAACATTTTGAACATAAAACAAATATGTACATTGTATCAACAAAAGATGTGATTGAATATAAGACATATTTTGAAAATACATGTTCTATTAACAGTCTATTATACTTACACTCCCTCCCTCATTATCTAATGTACACAAGAAAAACTTCTGTCCATATCTTAATGGCTGTCCACATGGTGTACCATCAGCACTGAAATATAACATGGGAGATAACTTAGGATTTTACCTTTTTTTATGAAATAGAAGAGAAACTTGACAGTGACTTAATCAACTAAGACATGTGAATTCTTTTTCATAACGATAAACTCATCATAGATACCAGGATGAAAATTTAGAATGCCAAACACTCGTTTCGTGATACTTTCATTGATATCCAAAAGCTTTACTTACAATATGTGTATGTAATATAAGTCTTACTGAAAAAAGTTTGCACTCAATATTCTTTACCATACTTTATAACCTGTACTGGTAGACACAATGACACAAGTGTTAATTCCTACCCAAATCTCTCAAGTCCATTCTTACCTTGTATACAATTATTAACTATAAACATGCTTCACTTAGTAACTTTCTATAATGTATTGCCTTCACTCTTCCACTTTTACTGAGGGTAAAGGGTAATTTGAATGCAAAATATCAACAATCTACTGGTACTTAAGATATTATATAAAAAAAAAAAAATCATAAGATCTGATGAATAATTTCTTAAATAACTGAACCAAGGACTATAATTTATAATACTAAATTATTTGCCAAATTTAATCAATTTTGAGCTGTACCTGGTAATAACAAATGTGTTTCTGAGATTTGCCCCCAATTCCTTTGATCCTGCAGTATTGCATGGTCCCTCTAATCTTTTGGCTTCTAGAATTCTCTGTATTGCGGGTGAAACTGCTAACTGGCAATCTGCCCTTGGTTCAACATGAGCAAAAAACTTAGTTTTATCGCGAGCACCTGGACAACGTAGATTTACTTTATCACCAAAGTGAACCAATCCATCCCTAGATATACTGAGTTCAAGCTGAAAGTAAAACATATGGGATGTTTCTACTAAGTTAAGTGCATATATACCAATTTTCATGGATGTAGGGGTATAAGTTAGCCACAAATTTAAAAGTTCAGGGAAGTTCACATTTTACAGCTTGTATGCAGAATTTGGGAAAATGTCCACAAAAATACAATTTTACCTCAATCCATGAAAATTGGTATCCCCACAAAAATAAATGAATCCACAGTACCTAAAGAGTTTCACATTTAACATTTTTGTTTAGAGACTGTTTTCAAATGGCATCTTTTTGTCCAAAATGGAAGTGGCCGCACTTGTGTTGAGTCTTAAAATATTTAAATATATGTTGTATTTGATGATAATACATAACATGTATAAAGGTTGAGAATGAACACGAATGCGGCTACTTACATTTTAGACAAAAACCAAATGAAAAGTGACGTTTTTATTGCATATTTGATTGATTTTTCATATTTAAGCTTGCATTTGAGCATCTTTAATGACCAAATCAGTTCAAATCTTTTAAATAAACCAAAACCAAATAAATCGACTATAGTAGACACAAGTGTTTAAAAAATGTCAAAAATCATTCATCAGATGTATGTCAAATTTTAGGCCAAATTAGCCTTCTCCTTTGGAAACATCTAATTTTACTGTGTAGCCTCGACTGCCTGACATGTAAAATCATGTGTGGCACACAAAATTCATGTCATTTTCTTAGCAAAAAACAAAATTCTGAGTTAATTTCAATGAGGCACACAAGGTTTTGACATAAATTATATAAAATTTGAAAATATAGTTAAACTCTGCAACTCAAAGGAATTCCAAAATTAATTAATTAAGTGATACCTTTTTTTATATCAAAAACAAAGTCATTTTCATTCAAATAGAAAATGTATATAACATAAATCAAATGATAATATCTAAAGTAGAAAGTTTGTATGTTTCAAATGATAAAAAATTATTTTTTAGTACATGTAGTTTTATATTTCATGAACCTTAGATATGGAAAAAAATTGTCCCTGACCTCTCTTTTTTTCAAGTATTTCACGCTATACTTACTCTGTCAAATAAAGTCTGTTGAAGTTTGGATCTTTTCTGGTATAGTAGTTCACCTTTTTCTCTCCTTTCTAGAAAATCTTTTAGTGTGTCCTACAAAATAATTAGGTTATTAAATGCTCGACTGTAAATTGAACTCACACAGAAAAATTGTGTTCATAGATTACTTTTGAATTCAGCTTTTTAAATAGAAAAAAAGTTTTATCTTCATTAAACAGCAACCATTAATTGGTAATACAAGTAATATGTAATATAATCCAAATGAATTACAAAATTGATGCAGGGCTGTAGACTCTGTGCAATGAACATTATTTCTTCAATTGCAGCTTTTTATTCAATATAATGTATCTATTATATAACAGGTACATGTAATGACAACTTTCAAATAAGTGCATTTTCCCACACATTTCCTACTTCAACTTGCTGCACAAATATGTTATTACATCACAGTCAGAACAAATTGTTCAATGACATCATTTATGCAGATTGACCTCAAGGTCAACTGTTGTAATTCATAAAAAAAAAAAAAACAAACTAGAGATTAGTCTATAAAGCTTATATTTGCAAATTATTAATTTTATATAGTTTCATAATGTGTTCCTGTACAGTCTTGAAAATGGAATTATCTTTCCAAATCCATAAGCGTGGATGTATCTGAGGGTTTTGAAAACTAAATTATCCATTACATCTTTAGGTATATGTGTTAGTTTAGGTCCAAAACCATTATGATAATAACTGTACAATAGGAAGTAATGTGTGTTATATATATCAACTACATGTAGATACAAATGTAAAATGTGCATGTATGTATATTTGTACATAAACACTGTCTGATATTCTGACTGAACCATACATTTTTGTAAATCAAACCCAGATCTTAATCTTGAAATGGTTAAGAGTTTGATATGGCATACCCCTTTCCTAGGAATCAAACACAATTACATCTAAAAAAATTATTTATAACCTTTCTAACTTTGGCCTTCTCTTACTTTAGGGTTATTGTAAACAGATTGGGGACAATCACCCAAATGGGTCACAATATAAACCCATTTGAGTTGTTATAGCCCAAATGGGATTTAAATTTTCAGTGAAAAAAATCTTAATTTGTGAATTTAATAAAAATATTAAAAAGTGCATTTGTTTATAGGTCAATAGATGTTAATGACTTTTCCAGAAAATGAGTAATTTGCTACATGTAGATTGATCCCTCTGAAAACAGCATCTTCCAAGGGATCAAACATATAAACAACCATGCAGGTATTAAGAAAAGTTGCTGACCCAAAGTTGTTACCTTTTATATATTCATTTGCACTTTGTAAAAAAAATTGCACAGTAAATTTATATTGTATTGTACATGTCTGTTATTCGGAGCTCCCCTTGACAGCTGTGAGAGTACAGTGGTATCCATGTACACTCACTAACAATATTATATACCAAACAGAGACTGTCCCCAACCTGGTAAACTTACCCTAAGTTAACCATAATTTGCATAAATCTAACACTCACCCATACCTAAAAGTGAGGCTAAATATAACCATAACACTAAAACTAACCTCAAACAAACCTTAACCTTACCATCCTAAACTTTAAGTACATGGACGTCTAAAGTGAAAAAGAAGGCCTTCTTCCCCTACCCGGCATACCCATACCTAACACTATAAACAAACATTTTAAAAACATATATGAAAATGATATTTTTTAAGTGCATGCTTGAAAAACTATTAAATGCAAATTGGATTTGAAAAATATTCTTACCTCTTCTAGCTGTATATCTTCATTCCAGTTGCCTACACGAACCGATGGGTTGTACGTTCTCACACTCATTGTAATGGTAATGATAAAAAATATACAACTACTTCACGATATATATTTTCGCGGCGATGGTCGGATGTTTACCTTGACAACAGACTAGAGCAGCAGAAAATATATTTGTTTACATTAAATAAAATTATGCATGACTCAGATTCCAGTATATTATTTTTTCTTATAAAACAAACGTTCGTATGTCACTATAAAGCTGATCATTATTTGAAAAAATAGAAAAATAAAAAAATTTCTTCATAATAATAAAAATCAATGTTTGATAGAAGCTTGGATAAATATTAGCTTTTCTAAAAGCTTGTAACTTATTGTTTAGGCGGCGAAAATTTAATATTGAATGTGAAATCATGATAAATATATATATTTTCACAACAAATTTTAAGATTTGATGTTTTCTAGTTCATTTATTATTATTCTTATATTTTGCTTAAGATGAACTTTCGTTTTGTTTCACCAGAGACATACATATATGTCCCTGGTTTCACTGTTATTATTTTACATTACTGTTCATTTTTATTGCTTAATATGCTTGTATGTATAATTAGCTTATGTTTAAGAGCCCACTTTTATGTGTGATTTCTTTTTTTTTTAGTTTCATGCATGTTTGTGTTTTTATGTTGTAGTAAATGTTTGTATATGTATTCGGTTAAAAGCTCAGGCTATGTCGTATCGTATCGTATCGTATCGTATCGTATCGGTATCGTATCCGTATCGTATCGTATCGTATCGTATTCGTATCGCATCGTATCGTATCGTATCGTATCGTACCTCGTATTGTATCGTATCGGATCGTTTCGTTTCTTCGTATCGTTGTATCGTATCGTTTTCTTCATACTGAATGTTAATGGTCTTTTTGTGCTTCGGGTGGGAAAAGGGGAGTGCCGGGTGTAATGTTCCTTTTTTGTCAAATACAAACCCTGTGGTCTATATAGGAAATTTTCTATGTGAGTTATCATTTTCAAACTCGTTCCGATATTTAACGTTTATACAAAAAAGTTGACTTCGTTGAACAAGTGATTATTTGTAGGAGACTGAGTAATAACGGGTCACATTGTATTATTTCATTTATATTATTGTGTATTATCTGGTACCTAATATGTCAGTTATCCTCTTCCTTTTTAATATCAGGTCAATATATTACTGTTACTACTGTTTGATATATGTTTTGTGTTTATCTTAAGAACCAGCATTTTCGAGTATTTTTTTTCAATAAAAGATATATATAAGTGGCAACAAAAAGCTCGACAAACAAATATTCCCGAAAGAACAACACTTCAATTGTAAGGGATATTTCTAGTAGTGCTAAAAATCGTTTGAAATATATTAATGATTTTTACAATGATCAAGGTTTAATAAGTTTAACCATTACAGGGTAGTGGCAAAACTTTTCTAACACAAACACACAAAAAGTAAAAAAAAAATCTGATGAAAATAAATCGTCCGATAAGAAACATTTACTTATTGGAACCAAATCTATAGCAAAATGACAAAAAAAGATGCAAGTTCCTATAATACAGTCTCCCCTACAAAAGAACAGGTTAAACCTCACATGAATAATCCCTTTTCTTGTGCTGATTTGGTATGCATTCCAAAAACGCGGTTTCATGATATACGATCAGCTTTGAGATAGTAAGCTTTTCAAATGCTGTTACTTTTGAAATTTATATTTTTTTAAACGCTATTACTTGTGCAGCTTTTCAGAATAGCTGTATTATTTTTTCTTTTTTTTTTGAAAAGCTATAACTTGTTCAGCATTTAAGAAAAAACGATTCCTCTGCAATTTCCATAATAGAATGTTTCTGGCATTGTAAAACAACTATATTAGTTAAAGAGATATCCGCTAATTGAATCTAAATATCTCGGGATAATACCACCATATTTTCCCCTAAAGTAGTCTGTTAAAATTGGTATTTTTTTATATGTCCAGAATTTTCCGTTGTTTCAAATAAAGAAATGATTGGCACGAATAAAGTTTTATCGTCTCCAGCAATACAGTGAAAATTTCACACAAGGTTTCATTGCATATATATATATATATAAGATAGAAAACTTCCTAGAGGTAAACAAGGCAATTTATCAACTGTTTTCTTGTTTACAAGTATCAGTATCTACAGATCACCGCGTGTTTCCAAAATAGTTTAGAGGAACACCAAATAAAAAATAATGGTGCGTTACAGCGCCCAAGATATATGTTTATGACTTAGCATTTTTTTCCATAATTTAACCGAATGTGACGTACTATGTTTTGTGTAACGCCTTGAAGCTAGACAACAAATGTCGTATCCTTGTGTACCGGGCCAGCCCTCAAAATAATACTGTGAATTACTGTGTCCTTGAGATAAGTTGCATGTGTTCAAACACGGAAGAGATAAATAAATTGAAGGAAAGGATTTTTTTGTCAAAATATTTTTGACAATTAAATATTTACTGATATGACGCAGGTGTTACCTAACCGCGTGAAAGATGACGAAGTACGAATAATACGAATTTTATTTTCAAAAAAATTATTGGCACTATTCTTTTTTTTCTGCAATCAAATAAACAAATTCCCCTGTATGTGTTTCACTCACAGGTTTAAAATATAAAAGTTGTCAAATCCCGCTGGATATTGAAGAATAGAGAATCTATATCATATACATTTTGTACTTCAAAAAACTTTTCACAATCTTGCATTTTTCCATTATAAAGGCGCTTTACATTGCTGGTAAGAAAGAAACTTGTGATGCTCGTGAACAATAGCGTATCGGTCAACAGTTGTATTTTCTAAATGATATATAGTATTCGGACATACATTTGGTTATATAACAACACTGGGTGTATACACAGGAGGTCTATAACAACACTGAGTGTATACACCGGAGGTCTATAACAACACTGAGTGCATACGCAGGAAGTTTATAACAACATTGAGTATATACACAGGAGGTCTATAACAACACTCAGTGTATACACAGGAGGTCTATAACAACAGAGTGTGCACACAGGAGGTCTATAACAACACTCAGTGTATACACAGGAGGTTTATAACAACACGCCCCTTTAAACTCCTACACAACCATGAAACCAATTAAAGTCGATAATATGGAAAGCCTCAGCTGTCATATATTAGAGATTTACAAAACGTTATGCTGAAGCTTAAAATGTAAAGTTAAGACAGCGTGATGTTGAATTGAGTCATCAAAATGCTAACTCTGAATTACAATATGCTAAGTTGAATTTGCGCAATGTTGACTTGCAATGACAAGTGCTTTAGTTGTGATAGTATAATGATAAGTCACGATGTTGTGATGATATGCCAAACACACGTAACGTTGGGTTTGAAGTACATGATGTGAAGTTGACGTTGCATGATGTTAGCTTGCAGATGGATACTGCTCAGTCATCCACTTCGATAGCTATGATAACATATAAAATGAATAGCTAAAATGTATGGTGCTGACTTGTTATTAATAAATGTTGAGCTGAGATAGTACGATGTTATATCATTGTGATATTACGATAGGTCTATCATGCAATCTGTTGATTTAAAACACCATGATGCACAGTTGAAAGTATATGATGTTAAGTTAAGATAACACGATGCTACACCACTATATTGAAACAAAAGGCTTACCATACAATTTGTTGACTTAAAACAACACGATGCAACGTGTTAAGCTAAGATGCTCACTTGAAACTACACGACGTACAGTTGAAATTTTGTAATGTTAAGCTACGATAGCACGATGTTATATCATTATAATGTCACAATAGGCTTATTATACAATTTGCTCATTTAAAACTATACAACGTACAGTTGAAAGTACGTGATGTTAAGCTAAGATGGCACGTTGTTATATCATTAGAATGTCACGATAGGCTTACCACACGATATGCTCATTTAAAACTACACAACGTACAGTTGAAAGTACGTGATGTTGAGCTATGATAGCAATATCTTATATCATAATAATATCACGATAAGCTTGCCATACAATATGCTCATTTAAAACTACACGACGTACAGTTGAAAGTACGTGTTGTTCAGCTAAGACAGCACGATGTTATATCATTATAATGTCAGGATAGACTTATTATACAATTTGCTCATTTAAAATTACACAACGTACAGTTGAAAGTACGTGATGTTAAGCTAAGATGGCACGTTGTTATATCATTAGAATGTCACGATAGGCTTACCACACGATATGCTCATTTAAAACTACATTATTTTCAGTTGAAACTAGGTGATGTTAAGCTAAGATTGCATGTTGTTATATCATTTGAATGTCACGATAGGCTTACCATACAATATGCTCATTTAAAACTACACAACGTACAGTTGAAAGTATGTGTTGTTGAGCTATGATAGCACGATGTTATATCATAATAATATCACGATAGGCTTGCCATACAATATGCTCATTCTAAACTACACGACGTACAGTTGAAAGTACGTGTTGTTGAGCTAAGATAGCACGATGTTATATCATTATGACGTCACGAGAGGCTTATCATACAATGTGTTGACTTGAAACTACACGATGTAAATTTGAAGTAGTTTGGTCTTGACTTAAACCAGTAAAATGTTAAGTTATAAAAACAGAACGTAAAGTCAAAATAAAGTAATGATAGGATGACATATACTTGTGCAGAATTGAAGATTTTTGGTGTTGACTTCGAATATAGTAAACTATTAGATCGTTTTATGTTAAATTGAAAGACAATAACGATGCGTAAAACATTACAGAATTATGTGAATTGAAACTGCAATTCTATGGAAAAGAATGAGGGACAAATCCCCAGGATTTTTTCTTCTTCATTTGCAAGTTGATGAAACGTTAATGAAATTTAACTCCGGAGGCAAAGTGATATACAAAGAAAGTTTTTCATAAATTCATAAAGCAAAACAAGTACCCATCGCTATATATTACACTTGAATACAGTTTTGCCGTATATTTTACATATTTTGTTTGGATTATTTTTATGATTAAAAACCAGACTTTTTTTTTATGAACAATATTTAAGAAAATATTTATCTATGTTGTGTGTTTATATATACAACATAATATTGTGCTTATAAGACTTATGACTGTGAGGGTAAAATTTTACTCATATAAAATC